ATGTATCCTACAAATGTTATCATTTTCTGGCCTCAGTGTGCTGTAAAAAAGTTAGGGCAACACTGCAGTTGAGTTTATTAATGCTGTCTTGGTGTGTGGTACTTGAATTTAACTCAGTGTTATAGTTCAGAAGGTTAAGAAGAGTAGGATGAATTATCTCTTCATTTGTCCTAGACATGATACAGTTTCCTCTGCTATCCGAAAGTAGAGTAGGGGCGCCTGGGTGGCTCAGTTGGTTAAGCATCTGCCTTTGACTCAGGTCATGATCCCAGGGTCCTGGGATGGAGTCCCACCTCGGGCTCTCTGCTCGGCGGGAAGCCTGCTTCTCCCTCTCCCCCTCCCTCTGCTTGTGTTCCCTCTCTCGCTGTGTTTCTCTCTGTCAAATAAATAAAATCTTTAAAAAAAGGAAAAAAAAAAGAAAGTAGAGTATACCCCTGAAACCTTTCTGAAATGATGCAAAGTGGAGAAGCAATTACCATTAATGTATATGGAACTTTTTTTGAGTTCCCAGATCCAAAAAATAATCTTTCTTAAGGTTTTCTGATTCCTTAGGACACACGTTGCTAACGGATGCCCAAAATAAATCGAGATAAAACCCAGATGCTCACAGACACAGTTCAAAGCTATTGTGGATCTGATCCCAGGGAAGGAGCTTGGCGGGGCCAGGGGCCACTCTTCCTGCTCGGGGTGCTCGCTGCCTCTCTAACAGCTCGCAGCAAAACAAATGCCCAACACTGTTTTCACTTCCCGCCTTTTTTGTAAAAGCCAAATCCTCTTCAGATTTTGTTCAGTTAGTGAAAACAGGTCTGGTACTATTAATGTAGGTATTTCATAATGTAGGTATCTCATTTAAAAAAAAGTGTAGGTATTTCATGAACTTTTAGAAAACAAGGATACCTGTACTTCTTTGCTTGAAGTTTAAAATGACATTTGGGTTTTGGGAGAGCCACTTCCAACTGCTACCTAACATTGACCTTGCAGGTCATGAAAACTGCTTGCAAAAATATAGATTCATTCATTCATTCATTCAAAAAATACTTATCTTAAGTCTATCGTGTGCACTATTCTGGATACTGGGGACAGAGCTTTGAACAAGATAACAAGGTTCCTTCCCTCATAAAATTAACATAATAAAAAACTTTAAAGTCAATGGTATCTACAATATGATTTGAGTTTTAAAAATAAATAAGTGCTTTTGGCTTTCAGCTCGGAGGAAGCGAAGCTGCAACTGTCTTCAGTCATCTGGGTTCATCGAATCTGGGTTTATCCAACACCCTCCGCCTCCGCCATGCTGCCTGGGTTCGACCCCAACAAGATCAAAGTCGTATACCCGAGGTGTACCGGTGGGGAAGTTGGTGCCATGTCTGCCTTGGCCCCAAAGATGGGTGGACTGGGTCTGTCCCCAAAAAAGTTTGATGATGACATTGCCAAGGTAACCAGTGATGGGAAGGGTCTGAGGATGACAGTGAAACTGACCATTCAGAACAGACAGGCTCAGATTGAAGTGGTACCTTTTGCCTCTGCCCTGATTATCAAAGCCTTCAAGGAACCACCAAGAGACAGAAAGAAGCAGAAAAACATTAAGCACAGTGGAAATATCACTTTTGATGAGATTGTCAACATTGCCCGACAGATGTGGCACTGATCTTTATCCAGAGAACCCTCTTGAATCATAAAAGAGATCCTGGGGGGTGCCTGGGTGGCTCAGTCGGTTAAGCATCTGCCTTTGGCTAGGATCATGATCTCAGGGTCCTGGGATCAAGCTCCAAGTCGGGCTCCCTGCTCAGTGGAGAGTCGGCTTCCCCCTCTCCCTCTGCCCTTCCCCCCCCACTCATGCTCCCTCGCTCTCTCTCGCTCTCTCAAATAAATAAATAAAATCTTTTTTAAAAAAAGAGGGCACCTGGGTGGCTTAGCTGGTTAAGTATCGGCCTTCAGCTCAAGTCATGATTTCCGGGTCCTGGGATTGAGCCCCGAGTCAGCTCCTGCTGAGCTTAGCTCCACAGAGCATGGAGCCTGCTTCTGCCTCCGCCCCTCCCCTCCCCGCTCATGCTCTCTCTCTCTCTCTCAAATAAATACAATCTTAAAAAAAAAAAAAAAAAGAAGAGAGATCCTGGGCGCTGCCCAGTGTGTGGGCTGCGACGTTGATGGCCACCACCCTCATTGACATCATAGATGAGACATCAACAGTGATACAGTAAAAAAAGTGAAATGTCTAATTAGAGAATATATTCAAGATTTATCATGACACCTGACAGATAATACAAGCACTTCCTAAACATAATGCACTATTATAAATTGTACCAATTGATCATATTAGCATAAATGTCAAAGTAAGATTCTGAGTACCTGAAAGTAATATTACTTTGGGAGGGAAGAAAATAATCAGTAAATAGTAGTCCTGTGATCATCATGATGGTGGTTTGCAGATTCCCGGCTGTCTCTCTTTCACAACACATGGTAGGGTTGTATTTCCCTGTGTGCTCGGAATTAGGTGTGACAAGTAATTTCTCTGGCTAGAGAAAGTGAAAGAGGCAGTGTCTCCTTCACCACATCCATTTTTCCCTCTGGTCTGTGACTGACAATATTTAAGATGGCAGGTGCTCAGCCAGCCAGGGGACCCAAAGACAGAGTCCTGCTTCCAACCTGCAGAAGAAATAGAGCAGAAGCAAGAAATACGTAAACTTTATGCTTTAAGCCACAAAGATTTTGGAGTCTGTCACCGTGTCACAACCTAACCAATCTTGATACAATACCATATACAAAAGTATACAAGAACATCATTATCAAGAGTGAAATAAAGACGGTTTTGGCCTTTATTCTGTTTGAAGAACCACTAGTAGTGGTTAGGAGAAAGATATTCCAAATTGTGCCAATTTGTTGGAAGATAACGAAGAGGTGGCTGCTGGAGTAGGGGGCCAGATGGTGCATATTATGAGACACAATAGAAGGAAAAAAATTAGCCATGTCAGGCAGGCTATTGCGTGTTCTTTTGCATTTATTTATGCTAAATGAAGAGGAAAAAAATATTAACAGTTTATCTTTTAAAGGAATTGATTCCCATTCCTTTTGGGCTCTGACATTTATCCTCCTGACTAGAAATGAGCCAGGGTAGCAATTTGGGAGTCTATTTATTTATTTATGGTTGCCAAGTGATCCTTTATTGAAATACTTTCCTTCGTAGTTCTTAACTAGCTGGGCATTCCACTGCACCACTGTTGATGTCTCATCTATGATGTCATGAGGGTGGCGCCCATCAACGTCGCAGCCCACACACTGCGCAACCCTCAGGACCTCTCTCTCTTCTTTTTTTTTTTTTTTTTAAGATTTTATTTATATTTTTTTAGAGAGAGCATGAGTGGGGAGGGGAGGGACAGAGGGAGAAGCAGACTCCATGCTGAGCACGGAGCCTGGAATCTGCAAACCACCATCATGATGATCACAGGAGTACTATTTACTGATTATTTTCTTCCCTCCCAAAGTAATATTACTTTCAGGTACTCAGAATCTTACTTTGACATTTATGCTAATATGATCAATTGGTACCAATTTATAATAGTGCATTATGTTTAGGAAGTGCTTGTATTATCTGTCAGGTGTCATGATAAATCTTGAATATATTCTCTAATTAGACATTTCACTTTTTTAGTGTCAAAGAGGTAAATCATTTTATACATTTAAAATAGAGGGATATTGATATAAAATACTTAGGCCTCTGAGAGGTATGAATAAATCTAGAATGATGTGGGCTTTTCACCCTGGGGTTAGGATTTGCTCAACTGCTATAATGACATTAATTAACTACAACAAGTGATTATTAAGCAATCTGTGGATTTTTTTCTAATATACCTTCACCCATAATCCATCTCAACCCTAATCTCTTTAGAGGAAAGTATGAGGTGCTCACGAGTTTTCACTACATTAGGAATTTACTGATCGAGGATGATTTGCGTTGGTCTGAATGTGCCGGCGGCAGAATATTTTTGTGAACTCTTCTGCTCAGCGCTATGTGTGGTACCACCTGAGTCGTTACAACTTGAACCACTGTCTGAAACTCAGTTTGCGAAGAAGTGTCTCGCTAATAATAGTCTATTCAGACTTGTCTTTCTTTTAGAAAAATTCTTTTGCAAATAACACTGCATTTTCTTTATACCACTCACCTTCTAAAGAATATGATTTTGATCTTCCTTCCATGGTTTCCTGTAGGCTTTCTGGCTTATACCTGCTTTGTTTGTGTCGATGCTCTATTGCTTGCACCTTTGATGGAAGTGAATTTTTTCTCTTATTCTTTGTTTAATACAGAAGGCTGCCCTGTGCACTCTCCTCTGTTACTCGAACGAATTTCAAACAGTCTTTCAGAACTCCCACGTGGGGATGACAATGAAAGTAGTCAGTAATTGTTGATGAAAGCTTTGCAACTTCTGCATCTTAGAACAAAATTGAATTGTGAAGAACAAAAGCTGGTCCCTTATCCTTCTTTGTATTCTGAGAAGGTTTACGGGAACCTCAGGTAAAGTCTGAGTAGTTACTCTTCCATTTAGCAAATGCAATATAAGACACAACCTGATAAAAATTAATGAGATAACCTGACAAATAATCTTTAGATGACTAGAAAATATTATCTCTTACTGATAGCTTCTGTATTCCAGTTCTGAGATTATAGGGAATTCAGATATTCCAGAATTTAGTTTGTTGCAGACAATTTACCCATAATTGTGTTCACTGCTGCCATAAAGTCTCCATAAATTATCCATTGTGCATTATGAAATCGTTATAATTTTTTGAAGGCTTGAGTTATAAATGCTTATTTGTTGGGAGCATAAATTGAATCTGATGGTTGTTCAACTTATTTGTTTATTCCCTACTTTATTAGTTTTGATGTAACTTACAAAGATACCACGGTACAAAAAGAAAACAATAATTAAGAAAATTCAGAAAATAATTGAGAAAAATATGAATGAGGAAAATAAGGCTAAGACAGTCATAACAACTAAGAATCTCTCTCTCTCTCTCTCACACACACACACACACACACACACACGCAAATTGATCTTGGAGCAAACTGATTTTGGATCTGACTCTGTATTACTAAGTTTTATACCCAAATTGCAAAACTAATGAAACGTATTAAATCATATCAGTCCCCCTAAAAATTCTTGTGAGTAATATAATATTTAAAAGTAAATAAGAGAGAGAAGAGAACAGTTCATGATGTAAATTTTCTAATCTTTTCCTTTGTGATTTGGAATTTTTTGTTTTGATGAAGAAATTCTTCCAAGGTCATAAAGATCATTTTTACATTTGCTCTTGAAATTCTTAAAGTTCTGCCTTTCGTATGTAAGCCCTTGATTCATGGGGAGATCTTTTTTTTTTTTTAATTGTGAAGTAGGGATCCAATTTGCCCCTTTTTCTACATGGAAAAATCAATTGCCCCTAGTCATTCTAGTTGAGGGAAAACAAGTAGGAAAATGAAATTACCACTGTGGCCAAGATTGAGACAAGTTAGTACCAAAAGCTGAATTCCAACCTTAGTGGAGCATGGAGAAAGCTTGTGGCAGGATCCTGGCAGGGACACGAGTTGCCTGGAACTATTGCCTTGACTCATCTTGGGATTTTAGCTTTTCTGGTTCCCTTACACATGATAAATCTTCATTTTGTGGGGCTTCACTAGTTCAGAAATTGTTAGAATTCACATAGGTATTCTACTGAAGTTTGATCTTCTACCAAGAATAATGACAGAGATTGCAAACCGTCTTAGTAACATAAAGGAGGAGGTGCACAGGAAAAAAACCATCTTCAAATACTGCAAAGGAACTTGTTTGTCAAAATATTATGCTCAAATATATGTTAAAGTCAGTCCATCTCTTAGGAACTTCTGCTAAGCAATTATTATATTCTTTTTTTTTTTTAAAGATTTTATTTATTTATTCATTAGAGACAGAGAGAGAGAGGCAGAGGGAGAAGCAGGCTCCCAAGGAGCAGGGAGCCCAATGCGGGACTTGATCCCAGGACCCCGAGATCATGACCTGAGCCGAAGGCAGACGCTTAACCATCTGAGCCACCCAGGCGCCCGCAATTATTATATTCTTATACATCACTAGGAAGAAATGATAATTTCAGACTAATTTGTAAGAGGTTTTCTCCCAGAGTCTAATATCGTGTTTTTTAATAGAAACAAATATACGGCAATACCATTTAATGAGTTTAATAAAATGGAAAATAATGCTGTGGTTACACTTTAGTTCCCAAAGCTAGTTGTTAATTTTTCTAACATCCTGTTGGGAACCGCTCTTAACATGTTTTGCCCTTAGGGATTACTTTTGAGGCAAACAATTAAGATGAAACAGAAGTGTCAAAATCTGTCAAAGCATCTAACTCACTAATCATTGACCCGCATTGGTCTGATTGATTTTATTTATATGCCATGTGTTTCAATTATCTATTGTGTAATGACTTACCCCAACACTTAGCAGAGCAGCTAAAACCAACAAACACATTATCTCACAGGGTTTCTGAGAGTTAGGACTCTGGGAGTGGCAGAATTGAGCGGTTCTGGGTCAGCTGTCACTTGAACTGCAGTCCTCTGAGGGCTCAGCTGCGGGAAGATCCACTTCTCAGCTCACTCACATGTTCTTGGCAGCCCTCACTGACTTGCTGGCTGTCAGCTGGGGTTCTCGGTTCCTAGTCACGTGGGCTTCTCCAGCTGCTGCTCGCAGCATCCTCTCCTGCTACAGCCCCCTTCCCCAGAGCAAGTGATCCAAGAGCCCAGGGTGTGAACTGGGAGGTGGGGAACATTGGGAGCCTTTTTGGAGGCTTTGTTATAGCACTATGGTTTTAAAATATATATGTAGAAAAGGGAATAAAAAGGGAATATAGGGAACAAGAGATGTTCACTCAGAAGGCTCAGAAACCTACACATACATATATATGTTTTTGTATACATAGAGTTTACAGAACAGTGACATTTATATATACTCGAATATGCCTCTGGGTCTTCGACTTCAATCCATTGATCTGTCTGTTGCAGCATCATCACCGTTCCGGTTTTGAATACCATAGCATTATAATGTACTGCAATATCTGGTAGGAAAAAAACACAGAAGGAAATGTTAATTTTTAACAAAAAATTACGATTTTTAAAAACTGGCTTTTATTTCTATCCTGAAATAATCAATTCTATCTCCCCCGCCCCTTGCACATTCAATTTCAAAAAAGCGGTTATCAACAATTTATGAAAAATGAAATAATTTGAGCAACTTGGAAAAGGAATGCAGGATGAAGAAGTTACATAATCAAGGGGGAAATGTCCTGAGTGGAAGAAATGAACAACGGGTTCCCAAGGGCAAGTCAGCAGCTGTATATGTTTGGGGAAATGTGACACAGATATGCAGAACTTGGATGAAAGAAAAAAAAAAACAGATGATAGCAAGATCCTCAACTATATTTGAACCTTAATATATTGGTTTGGTAACTTTTTGTTTGTGTCTGGCACTCAACGTCATGTGGCTTTGCTATTGCTTTATTCATTTCCACACAGCAATAAACCATATAGTGGCAAACTGTAAAGCGTGGATATTTGCTTTCTCATTCTCCTACCCACTACCTCCCTTTTACCAACTGTATCATATATCTTGTATTAACTGCTATGATAAACAACCCCATATCTCAGGGACCTAGTGCAACGTAGGTTCACTTCTTGCTCCAGTCACAATCCAGTGCAAGTACAGTGGGAGGAAGAGGGGAAAATCTATTCCACATACTCCCTCGGGGCGCCTCTTCCATCCCCCCCAAAACTCAGTCTTTCTTTGAATGCTGTGCATCTGATGCTCAAAACACAAGACAGAACTTGGAGACCTGTGCAAGATGATTTTTAGGGGCCAAGCTTGCAAGTGGTGTGCACAGTTTTCATTGGCCAGACCTCAGTCACATGACCCCGATAAGAGAATCTGGGAAATGTGCAAAAGCTGCGCGTCCGGGAAGGAAAGGGGGTGGAGTCTGATGACCACGCGGGGGTCTCTGTGTGGCGCCGCCGTTAGTCTCCCTGCGGGATGTGGATGCGTGCTTTGATGGAACTCCCCACAAAACTCCAGTATTCAGTCCTTCGATTTATACTTGTATTTTGTGCTTTGAAACAATTATTCTTCAAATCTGTAGAAATAAAAAGGACTCTACTGAATCTTTTTTTTTTTTAAGATTTTATTTATTTATTTGAGAGGGAGAATGAGATAGAGAGAGCATGAGAGGGAGGAAGGTCAGAGGGAAAAGCAGACTCCCCGCGGAGCAGGGAGCCCGATGCGGGACTCGATCCCGGGACTCCAGGATCATGACCTGAGCCGAAGGCAGACGCTTAACCAACTGAGCCACCCAGGCACCCCGACTCTACTGAATCTTGGTTAAAACTACAAGAAGCTCTGAACCGGGTGGTGGACGATAGGTTCCAAATGAAGGCAAAGGACTAGTTTGGAGCTGCTGTTACTGAGTGGGTTTGTGGTATTATTAAAATCACTTGTGCGTAAACTCGGTGATCAGTAAATGCAAGTTTATGGAAACTCTACATGGTAAAGTTCCTCTTTTCACTCACTAATCCTGAAGTATGAGAATGCATATTTAAAATGACATACGGTTTTCGGGCGCCTGGGTGGCTCAGTCGGTTGAGCGACTGCCTTCGGCTCAGGTCATGATCCTGGAGTCCCGGGATCGAGTCCCTCATCGGGCTCCCTGCTCTGCGGGGAGCCTGCTTCTCCCTCTGCCCCTCCCCCTGCTTGTGTTCCCTCTCGCTGTGTCTCTCTCTGTCAAATAAATAAATAAAATCTTAAAAAAAAATTTAAAATGACATATGGTTTTCAAAAATGCCTACTTGTACACAGGTATGAATTCTTATTCATGGCACCTTCTATCAATGCAATCAACATTTTTAGAAGCCTATGAAGTAAAACAATTTGCACTTTAAAATTTACATATGCAATACAATGAATTCAATAAACTGGCACTTGAGACTGAAGAAAGAAAAAAAGTAATGAAAAATTCCGATTTGTAATGCTGAGATTTCAAAAGTAAAGCAGCAAATAAAATCTGAAGCTTCAACAGATTTGAACTATTTTTCCCCTTGATTGATTTGCTTCTGTTATTAAGCATTAAATGACTCATGAAATCAGACATCACGTATTCGTTTGCAAGGACTTATTTAATTGACCTATTTCTAGGCAAGAGACAGTTCTAGTCACTTGGTAGATTTCACAAGGGCAATTGGTGGCTGAGATATTATTTAATGTGAATTAAGGAATTGCAATAAGTTGTTTCCTCTTGATAACATCTGATTTAAGATCTTCTCAATCTATAGCTTATGTCATTGAGGATTTTCTTTAGATTGTATTGACCGATTATTAACCACCTGTTTTCCCAACTTTGTTTAATAACCCTGATTTGTTGTACAATTCTATTTATTATATTTCACTTTTCCTTCTTTCTATGCTCCCAAATTGCTGTTCCCCCCAAAATCTGCTTATTTATTTTTTTCTTTTCTTATTATACATTATCCATAAAGAGCGTCATGGATAGTTATGCTCATTAGCATTAGTTTCTTTCTTTCTTTCTTTCTTTCTTTCTTTCTTTCTTTCTTTCTTTCTTTCTTTTTTTCTTTTTTCTTTCTCCCTTTCTCTCTTCTGTAGTTTCTTTCTCTCTTTTGCACCTTTCCTTCTTCCCTCCCTCTCTCCCTTCCTTCCTTTTTAAATATAAGCTATTAACAAAGGTGAATCATGGCAGTGAGTCAATCTCTTTGATAAATTCATGATGTGAGTCTTTATGGCATAACACTAAATAAACAATGCCCAGAAAAAGAGCATTTTCACACAGTTCTAATAGAAAAAAAAAAAGAGATTTGAAAATATATATAAAATGTAACCTTAATTTTTTTATTAGAGGTAGTAGTGAGAAGAACGGCTAAAAATGCTTTTTATAACCATTAATCATTTCATTCAGAGTTTCCAGGCTATAAACTCCTTAAGAGCAGGTCTTTGTGTCTCAGTCTGGTACAGCTAGGCACTCAGTATTTGTTGAATGAATATATCAATGAAATCATACATGAATGGTAGGACATGATACCTTTGCATGTTTCAAATATAACCAGAAACCTGTTCATGTTGAGATATGAAAATTGGTGTATAGCATGTAAGAAGAAAGCTCTACAAAATCACTTAATACTATGAATAGGTTATTTAAGTCTTTTTTAAATGTTTTTTTTTTTTTTAAGATTTTATTTATTTATTTGACAGAGAGAGAATGAGAGAGAGCACATGAGAGTGGGGAGGGTCAGAGGGAGAAGCAGGCTCCCTGCTGAGCAGGGAGCCCGATGCGGGACTCAATCCAGGGACTCCAGGATCATGACCTGAGCCGAAGGCAGTCGCTTAACCAACTGAGCCACCCAGGCGCCCTATTTAAGTCTTTTTTAAAAAGAAAGCAAAGTGGGCATTCTTATGAAGTTTTCTGGGGCTTTATCCATTGGTTGATTTTCTTCAGTCTGTGCTGATAGGAAACTGTCTCATCACACTGAAAATGTCTCCTTGTGACTAAAACAATTTCATTTGTAGAGTGCAATTTGCTACCTGTTCCTTCTCTGATTAACAAAAGATTAATTTCCCAAACAGGAAATGGCTCGTCACTTTTATAATTTTATTAGACATCTTATTCTATTTAGAAAATTTATAAGAAAGCAGGAATGTGTTCAATTTCAACCATTTTATTTAAGATAGTGTCAATAGAAAAAATTCAGGAAAGGCATTCCTCTCATTTTTGCAGTGTGAAGGAACCAATTAAATAGGTACAAAGTTGTCCATGTTACTTTAACTCCTTTTTACTAAGAGTTATTATCTAACTATAATGTATTTGCTCATCTGTCTATAGCTTCCATTACTCTGTAACCTCCTCACCGGCCAGGACAACGACCTCCATTTGTATCCCTGGTATGATGCCTGGCATATGGTTCACACTCAGATCTTGCAACAAAAAGTAATTTGGTATCATAAAACTGAAATTTGTGGCTAATCTTTTTTTAAAAACCAAAACCCCAAAATTCTCTTATCCTTAGATATAATCCCGAGATCAGCTTAGTTGTTTATTAAAACATTAAGTCATCTATATAATGTCTGTTTGCAGATAGGCCATCTCATTTTGTTTCTCTGCTTTTCCCATCAGATTACTGTAAACAAGCCCTCCCCTAACCATAACTCTGAGAGTGTCACGTGTGAGCAGACACTCGACACATATTCCCTTGCCCACTGACTCTTCAGGAGCGCCTGGTACAACTTGTGTGTATGCCTTTGAATACAGCAGCTATTCATGGACATGTATTGAATAAACTGAAGGATAGCATCCAGTAGGAGAACACTGGCTTCTCTTTCCTCCAGCCTATCCATAGGAAAATAAATATCTGTGCATTCTTCACATTATCATAAGATGAGGCAGGGACTCTAGGCTGAAGTATATTCTGGAGTATTTAGCTAATGATGCTAAGGCTCTCTTTGACTCTCGATCCATACTCACAGGCAATCTGTTTCCCTCTCTTTCCCATTGCCTTCAGGATTACTTCTAGAATCCTTGGTTTGGTTTAGCTATTGCCCATCCTGGAACACTCATACCAGCCGTGAAGACTTATTTTTCTTTTCTTTTCTTTTTTTTTTTTTTAAAGATTTTATTTATTTATTTGAGAGAGAATGAGAGACAGCACAAGAGGGAAGAGGGTCAGAGGGAGAAGCAGACCCCCCGCTGAGCAGGGAGCCCGATGCGGGACTCGATCCTGGGACTCCAGAATCATGACCTGAGCCGAAGGCAGTCGCTTAACCAACTGAGCCACCCAGGCGCCCAAGACTTATTTTTCTTTACCTCATCTCAGGCATTCCGTCCATGCTCCGTCCCACACCACCTCCGCTATTGGGTAACATCCCTTCGTCCATCAGCCTTCTCTTAAACACCACATCTTTCAGGAGGCCTTTTTGGATACACTAGATCAGGGGGCAGTAGGTGCCTCTATGGAATCAGGTCCTGGATCTGAAGTATTTCTTATCATAATGCACATTATACAATATAATGTGTACCTTCCCTCTGGGCACATAAGCTTTGGGAAAGCAGGGGATTTTTTTTCTATCCTGTCCACCATTATATCTCCAGCACCCATGTTCAGTTTACAACTACTTAATGAAATTGAACAAATGAATCATGTCTCCAACTTGAGATAAAAGTAGAGGGAAGCCTGGACTGGAAGTTTGTAGAAATGGGATCAAATCTTTGTTCCCAGCCCAATGTGCTCTCAGGGCTCCTGTGACCCTGGAGCCCCTCTTCCAACAAAGCAAGTAAAAGAGCTTAATTTCGTTGGCTCACATCACAGTTTATGAAGCTAAGAGTTTCTGGCACCATGATAAATTGAGGAGAGGTACTTTGGCGCAACGCGGCTACAAAGACCAACCATCAAACAATAGTCTTTCCCACAGAGCAGTGTGAGGACTGCCCTCAGTTATGCAGTTGGAACTGCTCCGTGTTAGCAGCAGGTCTGCAGCTCCACCTCTTGGGGATGCACAGCCCAGGGATTCCTCCAGTTTCCTGACCGGTACGTGTAAGATAGAACCATTCCTGTCATTTTATTTATGAACTCTGGCCATTACTCCTCGGCACCAAAACAACTGAAATGTACATTCGTGGGTCTCTATGACTCCCATCTAAAGTCTAATGAGGTCAGTCAAAACGGAGGCCAAATTCATCATTTATTATTTATAATTTACATCCAACTTCAAAAAAAAGATGAGGCAATTCAGAGTAACACATGAAACAGCTTGTTTAAATCATGCCGTAAGAACAGAAAAGATCAGATACTGTTAGAGGAGAGGGAGGACGGTGCACCAGGACATGTGATCACTGCAGCTATTTATATAGAATAGGAGTTAGGGTCCAAGCATGTAACACATGGGGTACACGGGACATTTACTGTGGACCCTCAATCCAGAGTGTTTCATCTCTCTATGTTCTTGCTCTTTACCTTTGTCTTATAGATGTATGAAATTTTTTTTTTTTTTTTTTTTTAGATAACAAGAGGGGGCAAAAAAAAAATTTATAGTTCCTCACTGGTAGACAATCCAGAAGAACTGGCATTTCTTCTTAGG